GTCACGAAAGGAAGGTTGGTTAACTATCCACGACCACAAGGCACCTCCAAGGCGTCATATCCGGCCTAGTTAACTCAACTACATTCCCTTCTAGACTACACCAACATCACGGACCACTAGGCGTTCTCCTAGACGTCCGGTTTTCGCAACACTTTTAGAAAATATTTTCCCCAAAACAATTTTATTTGTTCTAACAAATATTTTCCCCCCTTTTCTCTTTCCCAATGGATGCATGAATGCTTCATGCTTCAAATCATCAATTTAACTATATGATTTCACACATTTCCATTTACATCATCATCACAATTTAGAGAAAATTTCTAAACATTCATTTCTTTTATTTATTTATTTATTTATTGACTATAGCATCAATTTTTCAAAGCAATATATAAATAAATACATAATCTTAGGGCATACAATATGTCAACACTAAGCATGTTCATTCACCGTAATAAATTTGGTCATATATATGATTTCAACCAACATATGGAACATATCTATCATTTTAGTTAATCATACTTACAACAACCACAAGCTAGGTAATCAAAATTAGCATGCTTAGGATCAAATTTAAGGAGAAAATTCACAAAAAAACTAAGAAGTTGTAGATTAAAACACCCCTACCTCACTTAAATGCAAAACCCCCAATTTTGAGCCCAAGAACCCTAGAATTTCGAACTCCCTAGAGTACACCAAATGATGATTGGCTCCTATCAAATTGAAGGCATCGATGAGCTCTCCAACTTTGCTTCACAATGTTCTACCAAAATCCAAAAGATTAAAGCTAGATCAAAACTTGAATTTGCAAAAACAAAAAAAAAAAAAAAAAAAAAAAAAAAGAAAGGAAACTGCGGAGAGTCTCAGACACAAAGAGAGAGAGAGAGAAAAAAAAAAAAAAAAAAAAACTGGGTCATGAAATGGCCTTATGGCCTTTTGTGGTTAAAACGTTGGTGGGGCCCACCACTTTATTTCTTTTACTTTTATACTTATTTTTTTTTATATCATAAATATATATATACATAAACATTACATTCTCCCCAACTTTAAAAGATTTCGTCCCCGAAATTAGGCCATACCTGAGGGAGAAAACAACTCTGGATACTTGGAGCGAACCTCCTGTTCGAGCTCCCAAGTAGCCTCTTCAACTCCATGATGCCTCCAAAGAACCTTTACCAACGGTATCGTCTTTTTTCTCAACACCTTCTGTTGCGTGTCAAGGATCTGAATTGATCCCTCCTCGTAAGAAACATCCTCATCAATGTCCACATCAACCCAACTCAAAATGTGAGACGGATCTGGCTCGTACTTCCGTAGCATCAATACATGAAAGACATTATGAACCCTGTCCATCTATGGTGGCAATGCTAGTCTGTAGGCAACTTCTCCTACACGGTCCAAGATCTCAAAAGGTCCAATAAATCATGGCGACAATTTGCCACTCTTCCCGAACCTCATCAACCCTTTCCGTAGAGAAACCCGAAGAAAAACGTGGTCTTCTACCTCAAAGGATAGTGGTCGTCTCCGCTTATCAGCATAACTTTTTTGTTGGCTTTGAGCTGTAAGCAATCTCTGCCTGATCAGCTTAATCTTCTCGATAGTCTCGAGTACAATGTCAGATCCTAAGACGGCTGTCTCGGCCACCTCAGTCCAACAGATAGGAGACCTACACGGTCTACCATACAACGCCTCAAATGGAGCCATTTGAATACTTGCCTGATAACTGTTGTTGTAGGCAAACTCAATAAATGGAAGGTGATCCTCCCAACTACCACCCAAGTCAAGTACACAGGCTCGAAGCATATCCTCCAAGATCTGGATGGTACGCTCCGACTGGCCGTCCGTCTGTGGATGGAATGCAGTACTAAGGTGCAACGCTGAGCCAAATGCTGCTTGAAGCCCTTCCCAGAACTTCAAGGTGAACTTAGCATCCCTATCCGACACAATAGCCACTGGAACTCTATGCAATCTCACAATCTCTTTCACATAAAGTACAACGAGTGCCTCTGCGTCATCTGTTGTCTTAATAGGCAAAAAATGAGCCGTCTTGGTCAATCTATCGATAATGACCCATACGGCTTCATTTCCCCTCTGTGACCTAGGAAGACCCGTCACAAAATCCATTGCTATCTCCTCCCATTTCCACTGCGCTACCGACAATGGCTGTAATAAACCAGCTGGTCTCTGGTGCTCGGCCTTCACCTGCTGACAGGTAAGGCACTTAGCTACAAACTGTGCAACATCCTTCTTCATTCCATTCCACCAATACTGACGTCTCAGATTGTGATACATTTTGGTACTACCCGGATGAACTGTAAAGCGGGAAGTGTGAAACTCCCGTAAAACGTCCTCACGACAAACTGTGGGAACAACCAACAAACCCCTAAACCGTAGACCTCCATCTGCATGTAAAGTTCAATCCTTCACAGTCTCGCCACTAGAGATCAAAGTGTAAATGGCATCCAAATCTGAATCTTGTCTCTGTGACTCAATCACCCGTCTAACAATAGTGGGTTGAGCCACGAGACTAAACAAGAATGTTAACTCACTGCCATGATCATCATCATCATTATCAAAGCAATACAATCCCATTTCAGCCAAATCTTCCAGCATCTTCCATTTCTGAATGGCTAAACTAGCCAAAGTCCCACGAGATTTCCGGCTTAAAGCATCAGCTACCACATTTGCCTTACTAGGATGATACTGCAAATCAAAGTTGTAGTCTTCTAAGAATTCAACCCATCGCCTTTGTCTGTTATTCAAGTCCTTTTGGGAGAAAAGGTATTTGAGACTCTTGTGGTCCGAGAACACCTCAAATCTCTTACCATACAAATAGTGTCTCTAACACTTCAAAGCAAATATAACTGCCGCTAACTCTAAGTCATGAGTAGGGTAGTTAAGCTCGTGAGTTTTCAACTGTTGAGACCCATAAGCCACTACTCTATCATCTTGCATCAGTACACAACCCAAACCATCACGTGAGGCGTCACAATAGATCACATAACCCAAGCCACGCTCAGGTATCACTAACACCGGAGCCGTAGTCAACCTTGTTTTCAACTCTTAAAAGGATGACTCACAGCCTCATTCCATGCAAATTTGATCCCTTTTCGGGTCAATCTGGTCATAGGAGCTGCCAAACGGGAAAAATCCTTTACAAATCTCCGATAATAACCCGCTAGGCCAAGGAAACTCCTGATCTCAAAGACATTCTTGGGTTGCTCCTAATTCAAAACTGCCTCTATCTTTGAAGGATCAATTGAAACCCCACCTTCTGAGACAACATGTCCCAAAAATTTCACCTCTTGTAGCCAAAACTCACACTTTTCATATTTGGCGTACAAACGGTGCTCCCATAGAATCTGCAACATTATACTCAAATGGACCTCGTGCTCCTCCCGAGTCCGTAAATACACAAGAATGTCATCCACAAAAACTACCACAAACTAATCTAGGTAATCGTGGAAAACGCGGTTCATCAAGTCCATAAATGCCGCTGGCGCATTAGTCAATCCAAAGGGCATAACAAGAAACTCATAATGTCCATATCGCGTATGGAACGCGGTCTTTGGAATATCCTCCTCTCTAACCCGTAACTGATAATAGCCTGACCTCAAGTCAATCTTCGAAAAACAACTGGCTCCCTCAACTGATCAAATAAATCATCTATCATTGGCAAAGGGTACTTGTTCTTGATGGTGGTAGATTCAACTTCCGGTAATCATTGTATAACCTTAAAAAACCATCTTTCTTCTTAGCGAACAAGACCGGTGCACCCTAGGTGACACACTCGGTCATATAAAGCCTTTCACTCTCAAAACATCAAGTTACTTCTTCAATTCTTCTAATTCAATCGGTGCCATACGATACGGTGCCATAGAGATTGGTGCAGTACCAGGCATCAAATCAATAGCAAATTCCATCTCTCGGTGTAGAGGCAACTCATTCAAGTCCTCTGGAAACACATCCAGAAAATCACATACAATCGCTGGATAATCAACCCCATAAAACTCAACGTCATGATCGACGAGAAGACTAGCCAAAAAGAATGTATGCCGATCCCGACCCCTAACACCATAAAATGAATGAGTGAGAGGATCACATCGATCTCCCACAAAACATAAATAATCCCCATCTGGGGTACACACTGAAACTCTGCTCCTGAAACAATTAATAACAGCTCTGAAGGACAACAACCAGTCCATCCCAAGAATGACGTCAAATCCCGTCATCTTGAGAAAGATGAGATCGAACTCAAGAACACGTCCGGCAATCGTGATGGAACAACTCCTACAAACTCTACTAAGAATGACTAAATCCCCAATAGGTGTGTCAACACAGAGCGGTCTGTCCAACTGACTGACCTCCAAACCCAATGCCCGTACAAATGATAAAGCAATGAATGAATAAGAAGTACCGGAATCAAACAATACACGTGCCCAAGAATGGGACACAAGAAACATACCCCTAACAACTGAAGGACTGGATGGTGACTCTGCTGGAGTAAGTGCAGACACGCAACCCTGGGTCCTCTGCCCCTGAGAACCGCCTGCCTAATAACCAGACTGCTGAGTGGGTGCACTCGAAGAAGCTCTCCTACCAGGTTTAGAATTCTGGGCTGACATAGCTGGCTGAGACGGCTGAGGTGGTGGTGGTGGTCGAAACCCTGACTGAACTGTGGCAGACTGCATCTGCCTCTGCTGTAAACCTTCACCTCTACCCAAACCACTGCCCCGCTATAAACAATCTTTCACCCCATGGCCCTGCTGGCCACACCCGAAACATCCACCAGATGCCACCTGAATCTGAGTACACTGAGACTTGTGATGCCCTGGCTGCCCACACTTGAAACAAATCATCTGAGCTACCTGTTTCTGAGTGCATTAGGACTTGTAATGTCCCAGTTATCCGCATCTAAAACAAGTAACATTCGGTGTAGAAGACCCCATGGACACTGAAGCTGTGGGGGCGGATCTGACTGGCTGCTGTCCTCTGAACCCTGACTACTCATGCTTCTGCTTCTTACTTGATTGACCTTCGGAGAAAACACTCATACCCCTGTTGTGCTTGTATGATTCCCAGATAGCCTTACTATCCTTGCTTTCAGCCTCAACTACTAAGGCCTTTCGTACTGCTTTTGCATACTCTGTCAGTTCTGAGGCAGCTACAATTGGCCTGATGGTGAGATTAAGACCATCAACAAACTTCTCTATCTTTCCTTCCTCATCATTAGCAATCCGCGGTGCAAACCTCAAAAGCGATGTAAACTTATTCTCATACTCTGTAACTGTTATGCTTCCTTGCTTTAACCCATCAAACTCCTTCTTTAGTTCCCTCCGCTTAGGCGCCGGAAAGTACTTCTCATAGTATAACTTCTTGAAAGTAGCATATGTCATAGTATCCAGATTATGGGTGTGAGAAACGGTCTTCCACCAAATCTCAGCATCTCCCACAAAATTGTAAGTAGCCAATGTAATCTTCAACTTATCCGTTGCCAAATTCATGGCATTAATATGTTTCTCCACTCTATCCATGAAACTATCCGCAACAAGCGGATCTGGACCGCCCTAAAACAAAGTTGGCATCAACTTCACAAACTTAGCAATGTGGTAAAGAGTATCATCTAACTCATTTTTCTTTGGAGATGGTGGTGATGGTACTGGTGGTGGCACAAACTGTGACGATGACGCACCTGTCGGTCGATATGCATCAAAAATAGTGTGATACCCCTCGATTCTAGAGCCACAGGTGATCAAGTCCGAGCACAGATCCGAGGGATATCAAATAATTAATATGTAAACAAGCAAAAATAAAACTGAATTAAGAACAAATTAATAATACGCTGAAAGAAATCTAACATAAGAATCCTCAAACTTGAAATAAATAAATTTATATGATTTAAAACCGTACAACTCAGGAATCCACCCAGTGGACCCCTAATCCCAAATCCTTGAATAAATTTACAGAATTAAAATCCAAAATTTAAAATAGAAAGGAAATCCTATGTAACTGGAAGAGTGAGTGTCTGTATTTGCATCAACACGATCCAGCTCCAAGACTGGTACTGTCGAACACCTGAAAAATAATAGAGTGGGTCAGGCCCACATGCAAGTCCTGATCTACTACGATCCAAACAGTAATCCGATACGCAGATACATCCTAGAAAGACTCAACAATATCTAGAGTAGTCCATATATGTATATATAGTACACACTATAGGACGCTCGCTAGTCCAGTAGGTCTGTCTCAGCCTGAATAGAAGGTAACATGCAAATACGCACCCTAAGGTGGGCATGAGTACCTAGACCTACCAGGGGACAACACCTATGTCCAGTTATCCATCCTAGGCGATATACGCGCCCTAACTATGGTCCTGAGACTCAGGTTTATACTATGGCACATATAATAAATATATAAAGTCCGTACTCCTCCTAATATAGAATATCATCCATCTGTGTAGTGGTCTGATATCTGTATAATAAATCCATCCTGAAACCATAGTAAGTCTTTCAATTCACAATTGATATGACACATGTAGGTGATGGACTTAACCTCTATGGTTAATCCATACCTTAATCCAATTTAAATAGGTCTTAGTATTTTGATCTAAGCCATCCCCAATATGACACCGTCCCATACCGGTTCATATATATACATCCATATAAGTAGGACTTAACCTTTTTATGGTTAATCCAACTCATTTCCAATTTAGGTAGGATTTAGTGTTTGAACTAATCCATACCTAGTATGTCACTGTCCCATACCGATACATACAATCCTCCAATTAACACAGTTGACCATACAATATTAAATAATCAACAACCATTATCCATAATATGCATAAATACCATTTAACACATATAACAAGTCAACAGGAATTATTACAGAATCCAAACATCACATTTTAATCATTTAAAATGCTAATACAAGTCATAGTATTCCAATCCTCCATAGAATCCTTAAATTAATAAAACTTATAAAACAAACATATCAATTTATTCCCCATCAAGAATAGATGATTTCAAGCACTTACTATTCTTATACTTCTGTTTAAATATAATTAAATAATAAATTATGTAATACAGAAATTCCAAACTCCAGTACATAGTTTAATGTTCGAAACAGTCGATAAATCGATACAATTATAACAATTTGAGTATCCAATTTAAACCCAAACTAGGTATAGTTAAATATAAGTAATTCACAATACTTATAATACTGGGATAATATTCAATTATACATATTTAGACCATATATAAAAACCTTACCAGATTTCAGTAATTAAAACCAACAAGACAGTGTGCAAGCTACCAGTTTTCTCTTAGGTTCTTCTTGCTCTATTCCTCAATCCAATTATGAATTTATATTTTCCCATCATAATACAAATCTTATATAGTCCTACACATCACTTTAAACCATTTAAACAAAGTGCAGAATCCAGTTTAGCCCAAACAGCCCTTAAAATAAACAAAACTGTGCGTTTTAAAAGAGAGCAGGCTCTAGAAAAATTGGAGCATGCTCTTTTCCATCTAGAGCCGGCTCTAGACTCTTTAGAGCCTGCTCTAGTACACCAAGAGCCAGCTCCACCTTCCTAGGAGCCGGCTCTAAGGAAAGTGGGAGCCTGCTCTCCCTCCCCTTAGCAGCCTACGTCCGTTTCATCTTCGTCTTCTCCGATTTCTGTGAGTACCAGTCCTCTGTAGTACTTTTAAATCCTTGTTATAGGTTCAATCTTAGTCCTAGATAAGTTTAAACTACTGAGATCCAATCCTAACATGTGTAGGAACACAAGTTTTAAAGCCACGTTTACAGAACCTCCGTTAGAAATTTTTAAGCAAATTACAACAGATTTAATTCAGATTAATTTAGTGAAATTAAATAATGTTTCAAGCACTTGTTTTAGAGTACAAACTCAGTCCTAGAGTGATTACAAGGCATTCAAACATCCTACTGATCTCAATTAAAATAACGCTTAACCGTAAACCACAGCAAGAACAAATAACAGAATATCAACAATTTTTGCAAAGCAGTTAATTCACGAGAGTAAACGAAATTCATACATGCATATAAAACTTGTTATAAAGTTTATTTAAGTCCATTTTATCCTTGTTTTAATCCATGGAGTCTAACTAGACATGCACAGAACACGAATTAACGGGAAAGAGAAGAACAGAAACTTGCTTGCAATTTCAGAGTTTGAAACTGTAAACCACCGTCTCTAAGGTTTTCTGACCACCTTCCAAACTGTCGTTCCACGCCTCTGCTACTCTTGGTTAAACCCAGAAGCAACCCCATTCCTTACTCCTTGAGCCTCTCTATTAAACTCTCAAGGTTTACTCTCTATTTTTCCTAAAATTCCTCTCTATTGCACTCTGTATTTTCTCTCTGTTTCTTAGGTACGTGAGAAGAACCTTTTGTATTCTCTAAAACCCTAAACCCCCATAACTATATATTTATAGAACCAAAATCTTAACCTAACTCTAATTCGTTTACAAACAGGAAAACAAAAACCCTAACATTCATTCCCTAATATGTTGGCAACATCCGTGTAAAATAAAACCCTAAGTTACCATAAAGAAAATACAGTACATTAATTAAATAAAACAATTAAATCAGTATTAAAAATTAATCAAGTAATATATCATTAAAACAATCTCAAGTAACATGTAAATTAAATACACACAAATATAAATTAAATCAATTAAACAACCACAATTAATCACTTAAGAAAACAAAACAACTAAGTCACATAACTAAATCAATTAATCAATAAAAAAAAAAATTAAATTTCCAATTCTATCCTTTTGAAAACTAGGGGTATTACAAATAGCCTCCTGAACGGCTAACCTCAACTGCTCCTTATTTATCTGTAAAGGTGGGTCAACGGTCCCCCTCGCTTGTCCCTCTTTTGGTGGGACCAAATCACGCAATAAGATATCTTCCTCAACTTGCTCTTGATCCTTTTCCACGGGATTGGAGCTAGAACTTTCCCCGGGATCCCTTCGTGTTGGCATGACGCTATAAGAAAAAGGAAACGGATCAATAACGATGACACTAAAATACGCACGAGAACAGAATCTTCACATGAATGACTTGACAAATATGGAAACACATAAACACTTTCCTTGCTCCCAGAATACCCAACTAATGAGAAACATGATCATGCTAATAATATATAACAACATTAAGCACTTAGCCCGAAATCATATAAGCAATTAAACAATTAAGCATATCTTTCAAATAATTAAACATCTTAACACATAGGCATATAAGCATTCAATCACGTAAGCAATTAAGCAAGTAAGCAAATAATTCAACTCCCCATGCAATCCTAGGTAGGCCTTTACCCGTCGTCCTAATGGTATTCGAACCATCACTCTGATACCAAATTTGTAACGACCCGAAAAGATACCAAAATAATAATAAAAAAATCTATAAAAATTTCGGCATGACCTCCGCAGAAAATGTCCCTCAACAACCTGTAGAAATACAAAAAATAAATGCAATGGCCTCACTAGGCCTTAAATCTAACTTATCATGTCCCAACGCACAATTCAGATATTATACTACATTCCCAAAATGGTTACATACATACAAAAGTTCCGTTCCTCCATCTCATCCAAACAAGGGACACATCCGTTACATCAAGTTACAGTCCATAATTGTAGCTAAAATTTTGAAGTCCATAGCTTATAACATTATATCAACTAAACTAAAGTTTCACAAAATATTTAAAATTACATTTACAAAAAATATATATTAAAGTTCTAATACAAAAGATAGCAAAAATAAAATAGATCCCCAAACTCGTCTAAACTTGTGGTGGATCATCATCCACCACCTCTTTTCCATATCCTGAAAAATGTTTAAAATAATGGGGTGAGCATAAGCTCAGTAGGAAGTGTTTAAGACACACTTCTTATGTCCTTGTGAATCTATACAATGAATAGATAAAAAGTGAACGAGATCATGCCATCGAGAAACGCACTTTCTCAATCACAATAACAAGTATGTAACAAATATCAACCAATCATAAATTTACCACAATGTCATGAAGTGCAATGTTATGCAAATGTCACTCCCCATTTCCGAAACAATTCCGTTTCAACATTCAAACCATTAATGCAGTCCGACCCAAGGCACTTCCATGGCGTCACGAAAGGAAGGTTGGTTAACTATCCACGACTACAAGGCACCTTCAAGGCGTCGCATCCGGCCTAGTTAACTCAACTACATTCCCTTCTAGACTACACCAACATCACAAACCACTAGGCGCCTCCTAGACGTCCAATTTTCGCAACACTTTTAGAAAATATTTTCCCCAAAACAATTTTATTTTTTCTAACAAATATTCCCCCCCCCCCCCCCCCTTCTCTTTCCCAATGGATGCATGAATGTTTCATACTTCAAATCATCAATTTAACTATATGATTTCACACATTTCCATTTACATCATCACCACAATTTATAGAAAATTTCTAAACATTTAATTCTTTTATTTATTTATTTATTTATTGACCATAGCATCAATTTTTCAAAGCAATATATAAATAAATACATAATCTTAGGGCATACAATATGTCAACACTAAGCATGTTCATTCACCGTAATAAATTTAGTCATATATATGATTTCAAACAACATATGGAACACATCTATCATTTTAGTTAATCATACTTACAACAACCACAAGCTAGTTAATCATACTTACAACAACCACAAGCTAGTTAATCAAAATTAGCATGCTTCGGATCAAATTTAAGAAGAAAATTCACAAAAAAAAACTAAGAAGTTGTAGATTAGAATACCCCTACCTCACTTAGATGCAAAACCCCCAATTTTGACCCCAAGAACCCTAGAATTTCGAACTCCCTAGAGTGCACCAAATGATGATTGGCTCCTATCAAATTGAAGGCCTCGATGAACTCTCCAACTTTGCTTCACAATGTTCTACCAAAATCCAATAAATTAAAGCTAGATCAAAGCTTGAATTTGCAAAAAAAAAAAAAAAAAAAAAAAAAAAAAAAAAAAAAAAGAAACTGCCGAGAGTCTCGGACGTAGAGAGAGAGAAAAAAAAAAAAAAAAAAAGCTGGGTCATGAAGTGGCCTTATGGCCTTTTGTGGTTAAAACATTGGTGGGGCCCACCACTTTATTTCTTTTTCTTTTATACTTATTTTTTTTTTATATCATAAATATATATATAGATAAACATTACAGAGGGTTCTTGGCCAGAACTCACAGAGCATAGTTCACCGCAGGTTCCAACTCCTATGCTTGCACCTAAAAGGTCTACGCGATCTCATGTACCGAATAGGAAATATTTGGATTATATGTTACTCACAGATGATGGTAAGCCTGAATGCTATGATGAAGCATGTTAAGTTGAAGATGCTAGCAAGTGGGAGCTTGCATGGAAGATGAGATGAAGTCCCTTATCTCTAACAAAACATGAGAACTATCCAAGTTGCCCATGGTGAAGACAGTTCTTCACAACAAATGGGTGTACAGGGTGAAAGAGGAACATGATGGTTCCAAGAGATACAAGGCGAGAATGGTGGTCAAAGGCTTTCAGCAAAAGCAAGGCATTGACTACACATACATTTTTTTCTCGGTTGTAAAACTGAGTACCATTCGCTCAGTTCTTAGCATTGTTGCAGCAGAGGGGTTGCACCTTGAGTAGTTAGATGTCAAAACTGTTTTCCTCCACGGTGACCTTGAGGAGGAAATTTACATGCAACAACCGGAGGGTTTCTCAGTCAAAGGGAAAGAGAAACTAGTGTGCAAGTCGAAGAAAATCTTATATGATTTGAAGCAAGCCCCAAGGCAATGGTACAAGAAGTTTGATGGTTTTATGAAGCGACATGGCTACAACAAGTGCAATGCTGACCATTGCTGCTACTTCAAGAGGTTTAAGTCAAGTTTCATTATCCTTCTACTTTATGTTGATGACATGTTAGTGGTAGGTTCTAATTTTGAAGATGAAGGATCTTGGTGCAGCGAAGCAGATTCTTGGGATGAGGATTACCGAAGACAAACATAAAGGTATTTTGCAGTTGTCTCAGGCTGAGTACGTTGAACGGGTTCTGAAGAGGTTCAACATGAATAATGCTAAGGCGGTGAGTACTCCCTTAGCTAATCACTTCCGCTTATCTCAAGATCAATGTCCGAAGACAGAAGATGAGAAAAACCTCATGGCTAAAATTCTATATGCCTCAGCCATTGGAAGTTTGATGTATGCCATGGTGTGCACAAGACCAAACATTGCATATGCAGTGGGAGTAATAAGCAGGTTCATGAAGGATCCGGGCAAGCTACACTGGGAAGCAGTAAAGTGGATATTAAGATATCTACGGGGTACCATAGACAGATGTTTATGTTTCAGAAGGGGTGAAGTGAATCTACATAGTTATGTAGATTCAGACTTTACTGGTGAGGTGGACCACAGAAGAAGTACTACCGGGTATGTATTCATGGTGGATACAACTGCAGTTAGTTAGGTTTCACAAATACAGAGGATTGTAACGTTATCTACTACAGAGGTAGAGTATGTGGCGATGACAGAGGCCAGCAAGGAGATGATTTGGTTACAAGGTTTGTTAACAGAGTTGGGATTCGAATAGGTGAAGAATGTTTTGCACAGTGATAGTCAGAGTGAGATACATCTGGCAAAGAATTCAGCATTTTATTCAAGGACCAAGAATATAGGACTTCGGTATCACTTTATCAGATCTTTGTTAGAAGATAGGGTGTTGACACTTGAGAAAATACTTGGCACCAAGAATCTGGCTGATATGTTGACCAAGACAATAACCATAGAGAAACTGAAGTTGTGCGCAACTTCAGTTGGTCTTCTAGCTTGAAGACAGAAAGAAGCACACCGACATGTATGGGACATGCATGAGAAGAAGATGGAATGGGTTTACAAGTGCTCCAGACTCCAAGTGGGAGATTGTTATGGTTTTGTGGAGTCTGATTAGGTGGAAGATTTTTAGAAAGATTTAATTATATGGAAACTTCAAGAGTACTGAATTTTAGGGAAAATTCAGTTTCCTAATCTGTTAGGGAAAATTCAGTTTCCTAATCTAATTTGACTTCCTTATTAGTTTAAGAAAAATTCAGTTTCCTGATCTGATTTAATTTCCTTATTGGTTTTGGATTCTACAAAAGGCAAGTTTTTGTAGGACAAGTTTGAAACTCTATAAATAGGAGTGAAAGTTAGAGATAAATGTGTGCCAATACAAGAGAGAGCAATTGAGAGAGATAGAGAGAGAATTCTCCTTATAATTCTTCATCTTTTTCATAGTGATTTTGTTCGGTGTGCTCCATGGACGTAACCCTAAGATTTGGATGAACCATGTATATCTTGTGTTCTTGTGTGTGATTTTTTTATTCTTCGTGATTACTTGTTTATTTCTTAAACAGTGTTGCTTATTTTGCGTTTCCGCCACAACAACTGGTATCAAATTCGGTTGATTGTATAGTGCAACTCTAACAGAACATTTTATATAAAGGGAATGAATTAATCAACTCACGGGCTCACTGACTAGTGCAAATTCAGTTTGTTTATCAACAATTTAAGCTAAAGATCACCTTTTATTTTGGCGTTTTATATATTTTCTCTTTTTAGGATTAGCACCCACAACTGGTTGATATGCACTGAGAAAACCTCGAAGACAATTGTATATATATATATTTGGTTCTTCTTGTACATGACTTGGTGAGTTTGCAGTCATACAAGAGTACAGCTAATGAAACAAAATGTAAACACAAAATAAAGGTGGCTTCTTGTCGTTTGAGTGCAAAAAATTAAAATAAAGTAAATAAACTCATTTCCTAATGCCCTTTGGGTCAATTTATGTATCCCGACTCTTGTTACTCTAAGAGTCTATGGAGAAAACATAAATTAATAAGAATCATTATAAGGGTCATAGAAATTGTCCATCAATTAGATACATACAGAGATTTTACCAATCCACTACCCTAAGCAGAGCTTTGAACAACATTAAAATTGCAG